TTACTATGTAAAATTGCGAGACGCGGGCGCTCGTTGTATCCATATAGTACGAGCACGTACAGCTGCTTCAGCGACGGAGGAAAGCTCGCGTTCGACAGGTGCCTTATAATGAATTTAATCTCACGCGCTACGCAGCAGTAAGTAGCTCGTGTTTGTTGCTCGTCCTGAGATAGTTTACTGGATAATTTTGCTACTCGGAGGAATATGTGCGATAACCACCTGATTTTTCTTTTTTTTTTTTTTTTTTTTTAACGCTCGAGAATAACAAATACTTCGAAAAAAAATGTATACCTTGTATTTGATTCAAAAACAATTAATCAGATGTAGATAACATTTATGAGGTTCGAACATATGATCAGCAGAAATGTGTCCATTTTTCTATCCTACAGTCTCTTTGCTTATGAAACGAGTAAAAAAAAAAAAAAATTTTCGAGATAGAAATAGTTTTGTCCGAGTGTGAGCAGTGCTCTCAATTCATCAACTCCTTTTCACTTGCTTTACTTCGTACCCACCCTCCCCTCACATTTACACACATATTTGTTGAGTTTGAAAGACAGTCGACCAAACTACATATACGAGTCCATCCTTTATTACCCCCCGCCACCCTTCTCTTTATCAAACGATATTTATACAGTATAGTACTTGATAAACGACATTTATTAAAAATAACTTTTCTCCCAAGTATGTATAATTATCTCCGCCATAAAAAAACGTACCAACCGTACACGAGAGCTCGTTCATATAAATCTAAAATTCAACACTCCTCCCCCATATTGTATACAAAAGACTCTTTCGATGCGCAAAAAATTGAAGGAAAAAAACACCTTGTTTTACGTGTCATTAAACGAGATACACTAATAAACAAGCCAATCAACTTAACGATGATACGTCAATGAGTTTATGGCACAAAACTAAAACATCACCAGCATCACCAGTTCGTCGGCTCGTAAGGGGACCGATTCGCGAAACAACAGTAACAACACTATCAACATCAACAAAAGCAGTACAAACACGTGCTAGCCTATACGAGCGTTTCTCGGTTTTTCGCGCACAGTAACCATCGTCACCATTAAAGTGTTGCTGACGACAGCACGACCAAGTGCCGGATTTATGGGCGAGTCGCCGGTTGTGAAGTCCTAGAAGAGCGTCTCCTGCGACCAGACCGTCAGGGGTGGGGACGACCTCACCGGCCGCGAAGTACCGCCGCTCGCCGGCCGGTGTTTCAGTTCGATGGGCGAGGACTTTGACGGCCCTGCTTGAGGCGCCGGGGGTGGTGAGCCCAAACAGCTTGCTCCTATGCTGTTCTGGCTACTGCTCGTTGTCGTCGACGTCGGCGACCTGCTGCTTTTTGTTCATATGTTGTTGGCAGTGGGGAAAGAAACACAGAGAAAAAATGGTTATTTTAGGTTAGGTTCATCGTTGAATTTTTTTTTTTTTGTTTTGTTGATTATTTACAGAAATTTGTACATTTACATAATAAAATGTGTGTGGGTGTGTAGTGACCATTGTATACCTAGTGCTTGCGGAGATTGATTTTTTATAAAATGTACAAAAATCTAGGACATGTAGCATAAACCCGTCAATGGTATCCGAAGCATCGATTTTCATGGATTCTCCTTGAAAAAATTACTTATAGATATTAATCAATCATTTCTGTTTTCAATAAATATTGGAGGCGTTTTCGAGAGGTGTGGCCTTTGTTCCGTCGATACGTACATACACTTGCGAACTTACGATGAGGCGCGTGTGGTTTACCGGGACGCGGAAAACCCGCTTGGCTATAATCGCCTTTTCCGTAACGATGCCAAGGAAAATATGTTTTTTTTTTTTTTTTTTTTTTTTTTTTTTTTTTTTTTTTTTTTTTTTTTTAATTTTACCTCTCATATTATGTGTTACAGGTTTGTACCAACTAANTGGGTGTTTTCAACAATCAATGGAAGAAGTGCAGGAGGAAGGCACCGGGGAAGTTTATTAAAATTTTTTTTATTACTCATCGATTTTTAGTAGAATTTTTCTTAATCTTATTTTAAATTTTAGACTACAAAGTTCCGCCAAGAATTTTTTTATACTCGAGTATTCTCGCTATATTATACACCTAAAAATCTCTGCAGGATTTTTATTAAACCTCTTTACAATTACATAAAGTTTGATTGTTACTTTGGCAATTCGGCAGCGCTTACGAATTTAAGCTCCTGTACAGGCCGAAGTCGAGGGATTCATCGCGAGGGAGAAAAATGGACTACTACAGTAGATTTTGTACAAATTCAAGTTACAACAACTCCATTTTTGCATGTTTCTGAAATTTGAAGGAAAAATGAGAAAAATCATCAGAAAATTCCTCTCGTTGAATCATCTTGTTTTTATGATGACATTGATTATCAATTACTTATTTTCCACTTTAAACTTTGGACTATGTTTTTTTGTTTTTACCTTTTACAATGATTATTATCCTCTTTTATTACCTGTAGTTAAATTTTTGCTGTGTCATTTTTCACAGTAGTTATGTACACCTAACTAATTTTAACACTTTTCATACGCAACAGACATTTTTGAATAATTAAATTTACAGCTAAATTTTGCGTTTCATACTCTTTTTAACAAACACACGCGCATCCGAAGGATATTTTTTTTTTTAGATGCGAATTTTGTTGATATCAGTGGTTCATCGTACATTTATGAAATTGATGATCTAAAAATCCAATGTTCACTTACCCAAGTATTTTTATTTTTCCCCGAAAGCGCATGTGCTACATTAATAGACAAAATGCAGACACAGACATACACGCACATTCAAAACGTTACTTCAAAACTCTTGAAAGATATTCAAGTCATAGGAATACCTGTTTTTTTTTGTTCGTAGTAGGTTTTTCTCGTTTTGGACTCGTCATCGCTTGTGATTGATTTTCACATGCTTCTTACACTTATATTTTTCAAAGAAATCGTACAAAAAAGTCAGATTGAAAAAAAGTAGTCAATAATGTCAGCGCTATTTTAGTTCTCAAACGTACAAAATAAATGAAAACGTAAAAAAAAAAAAAATAGTCAGGAGGGCATAATTTTTTTCTCTTTAACAACTTTTGTGTTTTAGGAAAAATAAAAACATCGATCAAAAGTTTTATTAACTTCATGCATTACCGCTTTCCATACATCTGCTCCAATGCTGTTAACTCCAAAATTACCCACCTTACATTATTATTTTTTTCTCATATACAATAAATTTTTCGTTATGTTATTATTACGATCATTCATTATTATCATTATTATATTAGCGCTTATTTCTCAGTTCATCTAACAACCACACAAATCAACAATTAACGACTATAGTGACGATTTCTTTGTATCGTGATTTTTTATTTATTAAATTTCCATATTTTAATTCGCTCCGATTCTCAGTTCGACGGTACATCTCACCTCGGTGGGATAACTTTGAAACTGAGCTTTGTACGTAGGCTTCTTTGTGTGAATAACTTTTTATATTATAGTTTATGACTTTATAGTTTATGAGTTTATAGTTTTCTCGCCATTATTTTTTCTTACTCGGAAAATTTCTTAATACGCGCACACAATATATCTTTTTTTTTTATCGCTGTGTATTTCACAAACTTGATTATCATCACGTTCGTATAAAAATAATTGCCTATTCTTCACTTCTGTCAGTTTTATTTCGCAAATCAGTCTGGCCCCCTCCAAAAGATAACATTTTTTTTTTTTTTTTAATTAATTGTATTTAATTTATTTCGTAATCTCCTACACTCGACGACTCGCCTCTTTTTTTCTTGATTCCCTAGCAAAAATTTCATTTAGTCTCGGCATGTATCGGCACAAACAAACCCATGCACACACGTACAAACCCCCCTTTTTTACCTGACCGTCAACAACTATGTTTTGCAAAACCCTTGTTTTTCTTTTCTTTTTTCCCCCATTTTTTTTTTTTTGTACACGATGTGTGCTGTGCTGCTGCTGTTGGCTTCGTTAACCCCGCGAGTATGTAAAATCTCTTTTAGCGGTAAATTTAACGCCGGGGATTGTACGTACGGAACGAGCGCTCGCGTCACTTCCTTCCAATTTCTCTTTTTTGCTTTAGGTCGTGCAACTAGTTGGTTACGGGTGAACTATACATTTAACCGTTTGTGCACACGAAAGCCCGAGGGTGAATAATCGGCCGAGCTCGTTGTTTTTCAGTTTCGGTGAGAGCTTTTTGCCACGCGGAAAAAAAAAAAATCATAAATCCAACTAATAATTGATCGTGATTTCTCATCAAACCAAAATTTTGGCTTACTAGCAATGCTGTAGAGTACACACCGAGTGACAATTAAATTCTTGCTGTTTTAGCTGAACAATTAATCATACAAACAAACGAACAAACAAAGAAATAGATATAAAGAGATAAGTGCATTTGTTAATTTTACTATACTTTATTCTTCCCTATTTACTATGAAATCGAGAGCCCTTTTTTCTCTCAAATAAAATAAAAAATGCTCCCAATTTTATAACAAATTCTTGACGAAATAGAAATTTTTCAAAACCAAGTTGCATCCACCTAATAACTCGTATTAATCTCACGATACATGTATATGTGTAACATACTTTGAACCATCTGCTGGTGAAGTTAACGGAAGCATTACTATGTAAAATTGCGAGACGCGGGCGCTCGTTGTATCCATATAGTACGAGCACGTACAGCTGCTTCAGCGACGGAGGAAAGCTCGCGTTCGACAGGTGCCTTATAATGAATTTAATCTCACGCGCTACGCAGCAGTAAGTAGCTCGTGTTTGTTGCTCGTCCTGAGATAGTTTACTGGATAATTTTGCTACTCGGAGGAATATGTGCGATAACCACCTGATTTTTCTTTTTTTTTTTTTTTTTTTTTAACGCTCGAGAATAACAAATACTTCGAAAAAAAATGTATACCTTGTATTTGATTCAAAAACAATTAATCAGATGTAGATAACATTTATGAGGTTCGAACATATGATCAGCAGAAATGTGTCCATTTTTCTATCCTACAGTCTCTTTGCTTATGAAACGAGTAAAAAAAAAAAAAAATTTTCGAGATAGAAATAGTTTTGTCCGAGTGTGAGCAGTGCTCTCAATTCATCAACTCCTTTTCACTTGCTTTACTTCGTACCCACCCTCCCCTCACATTTACACACATATTTGTTGAGTTTGAAAGACAGTCGACCAAACTACATATACGAGTCCATCCTTTATTACCCCCCGCCACCCTTCTCTTTATCAAACGATATTTATACAGTATAGTACTTGATAAACGACATTTATTAAAAATAACTTTTCTCCCAAGTATGTATAATTATCTCCGCCATAAAAAAACGTACCAACCGTACACGAGAGCTCGTTCATATAAATCTAAAATTCAACACTCCTCCCCCATATTGTATACAAAAGACTCTTTCGATGCGCAAAAAATTGAAGGAAAAAAACACCTTGTTTTACGTGTCATTAAACGAGATACACTAATAAACAAGCCAATCAACTTAACGATGATACGTCAATGAGTTTATGGCACAAAACTAAAACATCACCAGCATCACCAGTTCGTCGGCTCGTAAGGGGACCGATTCGCGAAACAACAGTAACAACACTATCAACATCAACAAAAGCAGTACAAACACGTGCTAGCCTATACGAGCGTTTCTCGGTTTTTCGCGCACAGTAACCATCGTCACCATTAAAGTGTTGCTGACGACAGCACGACCAAGTGCCGGATTTATGGGCGAGTCGCCGGTTGTGAAGTCCTAGAAGAGCGTCTCCTGCGACCAGACCGTCAGGGGTGGGGACGACCTCACCGGCCGCGAAGTACCGCCGCTCGCCGGCCGGTGTTTCAGTTCGATGGGCGAGGACTTTGACGGCCCTGCTTGAGGCGCCGGGGGTGGTGAGCCCAAACAGCTTGCTCCTATGCTGTTCTGGCTACTGCTCGTTGTCGTCGACGTCGGCGACCTGCTGCTTTTTGTTCATATGTTGTTGGCAGTGGGGAAAGAAACACAGAGAAAAAATGGTTATTTTAGGTTAGGTTCATCGTTGAATTTTTTTTTTTTTGTTTTGTTGATTATTTACAGAAATTTGTACATTTACATAATAAAATGTGTGTGGGTGTGTAGTGACCATTGTATACCTAGTGCTTGCGGAGATTGATTTTTTATAAAATGTACAAAAATCTAGGACATGTAGCATAAACCCGTCAATGGTATCCGAAGCATCGATTTTCATGGATTCTCCTTGAAAAAATTACTTATAGATATTAATCAATCATTTCTGTTTTCAATAAATATTGGAGGCGTTTTCGAGAGGTGATGAATTTTGGGGAAAAATAACGTGTACACTTTTCGCAAAAGCGTGTATTCCTTGTAGCGAGGTGTTTTTTTTTTTTTTTTTTTTTATTTAATAAGCGTTGCCATATGCGTGTGACGAAACCATATCGCTCGTTGACGTGGTTGTTGTGAACTTTTGCCCCAATACTTGTATCTTGATTAGGTACTTACAATGAATTAACTTAGTATTTCGTATGTATGCATATCGACGAAATAAAGGTCATTGAATAACGTAATACGATCGTACTCGTGCGTCTGTAGGGGAGATTGGAGTGTTAAATATTTGTTTTTTACAGTACACGAGTTCTTACTCAAGTTTTTTTTTTTTTTTTTCACGCGTGACATTGTTTTTGTAAGTATATTTGAGTGGGTAGCTAGATTATTCAATGTGGTAGAAAAAATTTTTCATTGTAAAGCGCACTATGTTGCTATAAAGGTGTACGAGAGTTCAAAAGTGTGGACTATATATTTTTTTTCTTTCTAAGCATCTATATTGCTATATTTGGCAAGATCTACATTTATAGCCTAAGTTCATAAATATAGTAAACGTGTGAATATTAGATCTAAAATTTGTTCAGACACATTCTATAACATCTATGGTGCCACTAAATTCTCACGAATGTACAATTATGTAATTGATATAAATATGCATGTATATTTGTTGTTTTATTGCACACTGATAACTGTACATTTGTACAAAAGTCACAATAATCCCGTTGTGGATCTTCAACGTGTCTTTATCCCGTTTATTTTTAAAAAAACAATTTCATTTTTCTTGGTAATACATGAAAATCCACTCGAGGTTTATTTTTATTACCACATAGATACATGTATTATATTATTGTGTCGTATCATCAAACATCGTGTTAACACTGACGTGAAAAAAAATTGTGATTGTATTTCCAGTGTATTTACAGCGAAGCTAAAGATAAAAGAGATATATATTCAGAAGTAGAGAGCATTTTAAGTTTGAACTGAACCCAAGGGAGCTTGTATCAGCTGCAAACGGCCAATAAAACGGTATACATGGGTATAGTTACTAGAACATAACGTCGGCGTTTTCCAGTTTCCTGGAAACATATACAGGAAGTTTGTAGTCAAGATAATAATATATCACTCCAGTAGGAAATTCCTTTAAAACTGTTGACAAAATATTCAAGATTCGTTGGTTTGTTATCTTTACTTGGTCTTGTATAATCTTACGCGGATTAAACAAATGTGCGTTAAATGTTAAACATTCATCGTCAAACTGATAAAAGCAAGCCATTGAATTGTAAATTGATAAATTAATTAACTTGTCGGTGAAGCATTGAAACTGATTCATCAACTTGATCCAATTTTATTTTGTTGGGTACAACATCTCCTTTGTTCCAAGAACAGATCCAACCGATCATTGGCTTTGTTAATGTAATTTCATCGTCGGATCGAATGTAAAAGCGAAAATTGTCGGCCAAGTAATTTGTGGTCAATACAAATAAATGTACATGATTAAACAAAGTAAAGATGGAAAGTATAAAAAGAGTGCCGCTCAAGCTGACAGTAGGGATCACCTGAGTGCTTCGACAGAGGCGCTAATGGTCATGCATGCCTGACAGGTAGGCGAGGAGGAGGAGGCGGTGGTCGTGGTCCTCCGCCGCCGCCTCGGCACGCAACCAGCGCAACCGTCCCACCTTTCGGGTGGCCGTCTCCTGCTGTTCGTCGCGGTCGTGACCTTCAGCGGCACCTTGAGAAACCTTTTGAGCCCCGTTGGCGTGGAGCTCGCGACCACCGGAGTACCGTCCGACGAGTCGGTCGAGAAGCCCGACACCTCGTCCTCCGTGTCCGCGGGCCCGGGGCCGTCGTCCTCGAGCCTCGCGCAGGAGCTCAGCCGCAACTCCCGGAACACCGAGTCCGTGCCCAGCGAGCGCGACGAGTCCTGCTCCGGCGGGTCGACGCTCACCATCGACGCCAGGGGCGCCCGTCCCTGATAATGCGGCCTCCTCGCCAGCATCATCCTCGTCGCCGCCACTTGCACCTCGTACTGCTGCTGGTTTATGGGCCGCACAGCCAGCGCGCTAGCCGCGTAGAGACCGGCCTCGCTGCCGCACGGCGACAACTCCGGCGTTGGCTGGATCACCTGTGGGATTTCACATCTCATACAATGTTGGGACTTTTTTTTTTGTTTCAGTGAACAATGGCCAATGCGTACTCTGATGGGACTGAGCCACTGCATACCTGAATGTCAATGGGGTGGTGGTGGTAAAGGTCCCAGGGCTCGTCGTAGGCCTTGGCGCGCCTGCTCGGATAGGACGGTGGCGGGGGCAGGTAGGGCATGACCATAGCTGAGCCGCGACGCTCGAGGTAGCTGCTTGCGGTGCTGCTGCAGGTGGCGGAGCTGCAACGCCTGTGCGGACCCATCCGGCTGGACCTCCTCGGCACCGCTCCGAGCAGGGAATCGTAGTCCCCGGCGACCGAGGCGAAGCGCGGCGGGGCGAACAGCGGCAGCCGAGGCTCGATTGCCTTCTTCCGGGTTTACGAGTACAAAAGCATATTTTATCGTCACAGTTTGGACTGCGGTTGCCGTAGCGTTAGGGGGTGGGTCGAATGCGTTACGTTTACCTTTAAGTGGTAAAACGGCCGGCCCGGGGTTTTATCGAAATTTAAATAATCGTCATTTTAAAAAAAAAAACGGAAGAGACAGAAAACATTTACGAGAAAAAAAAGCTGGTAAGGGGATCCAAGGTGGCTCTACACCAAAGGAACACAGCTCATTGTTTATTATTCGTTGCATCTCGCTGAAGTATGTACACGTTAAAAATGACTCGGTATTAAAAAAAAAAAACTTTCTGACCCTTACAACATGTTGTATTTTATATATATTTGCCAGAGAGAACTCATTTCTGGTGAATATTTTGTACTTGACGTTTTTTCGGGCGAGAATTTTCCTTTCGTCTTTTAAACATTATCGTCCACGACCAACATACCCGTAACTAAAGGTATTGTATACTATATACGGGAGTTTGCTTACATCGACGCAGAGCGACCTCCGGGGACCCCGGGCTGGCTTAGGTGGTAGCCTGGCGATGGCCTCGAGCGCCGCGGCTAGCGCTCGCTCCTCGGCCTCGGCTTCCGCCACCGCAGCTTCGGCCGCTGCCTTCAGTTCAGGATCCTCCAGCTGCCGGCTCGACTTGCGCCTGCGTTCGCCATTTAATTTTTTTTTTTTTTTATTGATTTATTTATTTTTTTCACCAGAAGGCCAAAGAAAAAAAAAAAAAAAAAAAAAAAAAGAGAGAGAAAGCTACCTGCTCTTGTAGATGACCAGCAGTACCATGATGCTGAAAAAGCCGCTGAGCGTCGCGGCTATCCTCACCCCCGTCATGACGTCGTACGTCTTGTAGAACTCGATTTTCATGAGCTCGCGCTCGCTCAGCGTCGGCTCCGCTTCTGGCATCGATGACGTCGTCACACCTACAGGCAGCTTCGTCGTCGTCGTCGTCGTTGTTTTATTCCTGCCAGCGCTCGTCATCCCTGAAACATACAAATTACAACGTATACACTCATCAAATTATATCCTCAATCTAATCGAGCCATCTCTTCCACCCAACGTTGTTCCACCGAGTATCCGCGACCAGGTGAGTATATACATATATTATTTTGCAAGCAAAATTTCGCCGTCAGCCGGAGCCAACGTCGATATAATTACTCATCGAAGTTTAAATTAATACGGTCGAGTAAGCCACCCCCTCCCCCAACCTGGCACGTTGTGCATGTGTACCCACACATATTATATACCTGCTGTGTGCCGAAAACGTGAGAAATTTCAAAACTAGTACCACACTGCCTCGTACACTCTCGCAGCAGCGCATACCCTCACTCGAGCGCGCCACCTCTCGCTAACGTATACATTTCTGGACTTTTTTTCGCTTGTTTTACCCTTTCGCCCCTTTTGAATGCAGATACGCTCTACCCTTTGGCTCGTGCGTACAAACAAAAAAAATCTCGTGTCCGACCGAACGTTGACTTTTCCACTTGGTCCCACTCGATTGTGACCAGACTCGTCGAAACGCGGCAGGTTCTTATGACGGTCTGGTCGTGAAAGGCAACAGGGTATCCCGGGATGAAACGAACTTTGCGTTGCTCCGTTGTAATCCTGAGACCCCCCCCCCCCCCGACTTTCGTCAAATTAGCCAACTTTCTCGAAATAAGCGCCTACAAAATTCGCGTGCGCGTATAGTGAATTTCCTCTTCCATGGTATATGGACCGCAAAAAAAAGTTTGGCGCACCTTTACCGACGCACTTGAACCCTCGGGTTGTCCTCTCGGGTCGCACACACACAGCAGCAACGAAAGAAAAAAAGGTACGGCATGAGTGCACACGTATACAATTTAGCTCATCCAACTTGGCTTGTCGAGCATCTTGACTTTTTTATATATTAATTTATTCATAATGATGGCAGTCGAAGCAAACGACCTTTGAGCTGATTTTACGTGAGCTTGGGCCTGAATCTCGAGGCCGGCATGGAGAGAAACAAAGGGAAAATGAAAGAGGAGGACGAAAAGCAGGTCGGGAGTCGCGGGCACCTAAATAATACATCGACAGAGGGGAGGTGTATAAGCAGGCAGGCAAGGAAGCTGGAAAATAAGCCCTCGGGGTCACGAGTAGACGCGTGGGTGTAGTTGGTGTAGCGAGCGGCGAGTAGGGACAGTACTAGCGCGGTGTATCGATTCCCCCCCCCCCTTTATTTTTTCCTCTTCTCGCTCTTTTGCGCCTACATGTACCTCTACGTATACGCGCACGTTATATTCGTGCACGCCACGAGCGCCGGCGAAGGTTGAGCCGCCTCTGGATTTTTGACCCACGCGTAACCCCCTGCCACATAAAGGTATACGAGTGCTCTTGCGTTATTCAGGGGCTCCTGGATTTTTCTCCCTCCCCTTTACCCCTGCACATTCCGTTGCACCGGACCACCCGCCCGTTATGTGTTTTTTCACGCATGTAGTTGTTGTTTTTATACATCCGCGAGAAATTGTTGTTTTTTCCATCAAAGGAGCTGGTCACAGTCGAGAGTCCCCTCGCAAGCTTTGCAATTTACGCCGCGAAAAACAAAAGGAGAAGAGTCGAGAACATACTCCAAGAGCCGAAAAGAAGCCCTTTGTTTTTTTTTTTTTGCCCCCCGGCGAAAACTTAACTTGAACTTTGTCGGGAAGACCATTTTCTTTATCTACATGTATTTACCAACCGCCATGTAATCGGCAATATTGTTTGGTACTGGCCAAGTGGTGGAAAAAACACAACGGATGTGCAGGCGAGTCTGTCGTACAACGTAAACATCATCGACATCGTGGGAGGTCGGGAGGGATGAAAAAACAGTGAAAACGTATTTGCGCGTCTCTTTTCAAACACGGGAGAAAGAGGAGGAGACAGAGAGAAAAAGCCACCGGATGCATCCTGCAGAGCGGATAAAAGGCGTACACTTGGCCCGGTAATGAATGTCTTTTCCCCCTGTGTATACACACGCATTGAATTTCACGCTCACCTTATTTTTTGACACATCCAACCCCTTCCCTCGGTTTTCTTTTTATTTTCATCGCCTTCCATTCAGAGTAGGTACACATATGTCCCTTCGGAAGCGGCATTGACTCTATATACTGGGTCCTACGTACACAGAGCGAGGGGTTATCGAACTTTCCGGGCTTTTTTTTTTTTTTCTCAATGCCCCGCGCAGAGATGATCGAGCCCCCTCCTGTGACGTATATATATATATATACTGTAGATTTTTCTTCCCTCAGCCAAAAGATCAACTTCCACAGAAAAGTGTTTGCCGAACCACACGTCGAGCGATCACGTTTTCCTTTTTCGATGAGTATAGTAATGTCTCTGCGTGTGGGTACAAACCTTTTTTCTCGTTTCATCAACGCGAGCAATAAAGTATACTTTCGCATCCCTCGGTACATTATGATGGAAAATTGCTCGAGATCAGCAGGGCCAACCTGTGGATACTCCAGACGTATAGCTCCACGTGTGTTACCCTCCAGCACGGGCGGTCAACGCTTTGCCCCGGAGAGCGAAAAAGGGGGGCAGTTTTCCTTATTCTTCGCGCGTAGACAAACTCTACACAGATTTATATCGCGAAACGTATACGGGAGCCATTTGATGTGTTTTCACTTCGTTTCGAATAAAACACGTAGGCGTGCAGAACCGTTGCAGAGTGAAATAATAACCAATGTACAAGTTTCCGGCATCAGGGTATAGCGGCTTGAGAAAATTTCTCGTCATACATCCTGGCGCGCGGAGGCAAAGAACGCCGAGAAAACGCCATATCTAATTACCTCCGGCTCGCGCGACACTAGCTTTGAACTTTTGGAGTTTACGGAATGCCAGAAGCGAATCTAAATAACCCCCGAAACGACGAGCACTGCGAGTCGTTGAGCAACGCGTATCCTCTTTAGCGTCTAGAGCTATATACTCGGGGTACACTGCAGCTGGGGACGGATAAGAGAGAGACGAAGATTACGGTCTCTCGGCTAATCGCTTTATGAGTGTATACCTCCTCGGCGCGGAGGGCTGCTCATTGACTTTTCACAATCTCCCCCCGAAAGATGCACGTATAGGGTATATAAAAAGCGTACGGTCAAACGTGTGTCCATCCGCGAACGGCCGAGATGGGAGCTCTCAAGTTCAGGGATGGACCGGCTTTATACAACGCGGCCTCGATCCGCGGATGAGACACCGGGTGATATTGCTTTACCGATGCCGCTGAACGGAACTTTATTACTGCCCCTGGAGGAGGAAATGTCGACCGAGGTGGGTTGGAGCTTGACTCGGTTTAAGGGCGTATTATGTTTATGTCGTTTAATAACTTTGTTATTTTCTTTGAATACCATATCTATGCAGAGTATAAGTATTTACTCGATACTTGAATATACAAATTTGCTATATTAAATGTATGCATCAGTCGTACTCGAAGTAGTGATTATTTTAGAGAATACTGATGATTAATCCCCGAGGATTCTGTCACTCTACCGAAACTTTGTCTTTTACACAAGCCGAGCTTGCCACAACTATACTACACTGCTGCAATAACTTTTTTTCACTAGTCTATCAAACCCACGTAGTTAATACCTAAAAAAAAAAAGTTAGAAATTTCCGTTTCCAGTTAAATTAGATTGAAATAAGAAATTGTTTGTTTGCTCGTTTGCTCCGTGTGAAAAATAAACGATTTTCACAGCAAATGTTTCATTACGTTGTGACGGTGAGATACCGTCGAGCCATCATCGATAGGGAAAGAAGGAAAAGGGAAAAATGTAGAGGACAGTTAGGAAAAGGAAGAAAAAGCCGAAAAGGGATTAGATTAGCTTGGGCCAGCAAATGCTCGTGAGATGTTTTTCTGCCGTCTCCCCTTGTTTCCGTTTGTTTTGGTGCGTAAATTTTGTGTTGGAGTGATTGGGGGATCCGCCGATAACGTTCGAGATCATTCGACGTCGCGGTACAGTGTTGGTGCCATGACCCGGCTCCTGAACCAGTTGACAAGGTCGAACCAAGGCCAGGCCCTACGACCTTGACCTCCGCACGCCTACTGGCCTCTGCGTAATCACTCCAACAACGACTAGTTTCCGCCTATTCAAGGCACCGACGAGGAGCGACCCCCCGCATCGCTGTAAGTACCTGCCAACAGGCAGTCTATTGTAAAGGGCAGCGGCCCTAGATTAGCCCACGTAGGTCTGCCCAGTTTGCGTTTTCGCGCCGCGAACACGTCGAGCAACCGCGCTCGACGTGCGAGAACACACACCTACACCCGCGAGTACTATTTGTATTTATATATATTTTTTACTTGAATATATTTTATTATCTCATATTCCTCGCGAGTGATTATTCTGTGCGTACCCGATTCCCTTTGTATCGTGCTGAAGCCGTCGCGAGAGGCGACGACGTTCAAAGTCACCGCGATATTTGGCCCCGGTGGTGTCTTAGAGAGCGAGACCCGCGCATAACGTTTATTGGAGGTGTCGCCGAGGGTACCCGGGTAACACAGGCCTGGTCGAGGTTGCGAATTCCGCATCGGCTGCACCCCGTAACAACGTGTACAAAAGAATTTTTTCAAACGAATAATCATCAGCACAAAAATAGAAATTACAGTTTCGTAAAGAGTAAAAAAACGGTGCATCCTCTGTTCTTTTTCTCTAGCTGTGTCCATACTTAATTAGTTTTATCACTCTGCCTCTATTTTCCCCCTGCAGTATAGTAGGTGGTAATATCACGGTCGTATGGACGGCAATAAAAGTCGATAACGATGCCAGTGTCGTATTTTTTTTTTTCCCCTCCCATGTGGCGGGATCTTTAATTTTTTGTGGGTTTCGTCGAGTACTCTGATAAAATTTCGCATTCCAAGAAGACGTGGGTGGCTGCGAATAACTTTTCATACCAAAAAAACCGGTGAATATACTCTACACGAAATTATTGTCGTCTCGTTTTTCTTGGCAACCATTCCCTTCTTGTAAAAAAACAAAAACAAAAAAATTACCCACGC